GGAACTCCATCCCCACAGTCCCTTCACATTGCCCCCCTCCCCCCCCCACCCCACTTGCCTCCTTCAAGGCACATCTCAAGACCCTCCTCTTCGGCCGCGCCTTCGGTCACCCTCCTACGCCCACCCTCCTTGCCCTCCACCCCTCCTGGAATACGCACTCTCTCTCTCTTTCTCTCTCCCTCCATCCTGTTTACCAAATTCCGGAAAGTATTAGGCACAGGTTGGCAAGGAAAACACTTCACTGTGAAACTGGCCATCGTATTGCCGTTTCCACCCATTGACCGCTCACCTCCACACACGGTGTCCACGCAAAGTCACACCTGGACACGGCAGAAAGCAACTGACCATCCTATCAATGGGTGACTCACTGCACGCAACCAGCAGAGAGATCAGAGCAACAAAATTCCTCCTGTTCTTCGCCTTAAGGCCCCCGGGTTTCCACCCGTCCTTAGCCTCGCTAGACACCCACTTCCTCCCACCCTCCCATCGCAGCCACCCCCACCCACCCTTCCTTTTTTTCATTATCCTTTAACTCAAAGCACTGCTATGGAAAGTAATAATTTCCAATAATAATAATGATGATAATTTGGTCACTCAATCCACCTCTGTTTGTGGGGACACCACTGTGCGCAATTGGCTGCCGCGTTTCGCCCACAAAATATACGGTCACTACACTTTACAGTATGTCCTGTGAAGCGCTTTGAGACGTTTCGACCAGGCTGGATCGAATGCGAGGATGATCACATTTAAAATGGAACAGAACAGTGCGAGACTTCTGTATCCTAGCAATATCTCTCTCTCACGTCGGGAAGACATCTCAAAGCAATTTGATCTGGTTACCTGCGGGGGAGGGAAAGAGAAAGGGGTTGGACAGAACTGGACTGGCGGGCGGGCAGGGGGGGATGGGGGGAAAGGGGGGAAAACCGCTTCCGAATTCAGAACAGATCTAGATTTACGAATCTTCCTGCAATTCCTTCATTTCAAGACACAAACGACGGAATTTGGGGCCCAGTGCTGGTCTAATTCGGAAGCCGATGGGTCTGTCGTCCGCAGGAAGTCCGGGCAAACCCACTTCCGAATCCAGACGGAATTGTAACAGCCCATGCATTCGACGTCTCAAAGCGCTTCACAAGATTTACCGTAAAGTGTAGTGACTGTGTGTTTTTTCTAGGCACAGCGGACAGCTAGTTTGCACATAGCAACGTCCCAGCAAACAGCTGTGAAGTGAGTGAGTGATTTTATCTGGCGGAGGGTGAGGGCACCAGCAGAGAGAGAGAAAGAGAGACACCTCTCTCTCTGAACAAGATACAGACAGGATCTCAGTTTAACGTCTCTTCTGAAAGACGGTGTCTCCAACAACACAACACTTTCCCTCCTCACGCATACGCGCCCCGACCCTCAGCCCTGCCTGCGCTGGAGTGTCAGCCTAGACACCCCAAGATATGGAGGCGTGAACCCCCCCCACCTACTGACTCCGAGCTCTCCCGACTGAGCCAGGCTGACACCAATGCAGAAACACCCCACAATCTTGGTTTTAATCCAGAAGTAGGCCATTCAGCCCCTCGAGCCTGTTCTGCCATTCGCCGCACGAAACACACAGTCAATTCACTTTACGGTATAAACACTATGAGAGGTCTCGCAGTTGGGATAAGACCTTGTGTCAAATATAAGGATTATTATTATTATTGTTAATATTATCACAACAGAGAAGATATAGACCATTTTGTAACAGGTGGGGGTTGGGGGGGGTTGAGCACTGACTGCTTGTTAGACATCGTTAAATAAGGCAACACTCGAAGTGGGGAGATGCCAACTGTTTGGCAAGCGAGAGGTGTTGTCTGACGTGGGTTATCATCTCCCAGGGCAGTGTGGATCAGTGAGGGACAGGGGGTCTGAGTGTTTGTTTAGGCCAAGACTGAGTCAATCCCCTCGTTCACCTTCTCAACCAACCAATTGACCAACTGACTGACAAGCTAGCCAACAAACCAACAAACCAACCACACAACCACCGAACCACCCAACCAGCCAACCACACAACCAACCAATTAACCAACCAGTGAACCACCCAACCAGCCAACCACTCATTAATCAACCTCCCAACTAGTCAACCACCAATTCATCTAACTAAAGTCTTGTGGTACGTTATTGTATTATTTGATCCCTACAATAAAATGAAACAAGGAACAATTGTGGAATTGCTTCCTCCACCCACTCCACCACACAAGTTTTTTTTGTCGGGTAAGTGTTGGGAGAAACTCAGTAACCCATCTATACCAATGGTAAGCTGACAACTAGTGACTGTGGAAATCTCTATTGCTCTCTCTGACACACACACACAGTCGCTTTCTCTCTCACACACACTCTTACATATGGATTCCTGTTAAACACTGACATTAATATGGTGGAAATGTTGAACTTGCAAACAGGCAAATGGTAAATTGGGTTTTGATCTACAGTCACTGAGAAGCTAAGGATTGGAAGGAGATGGAAGGAAAGTCAAGGCCAATGGATATCAGATCCAATGCTCTCCCATTCGATACCTCTTCATTGAATTTCTCCCCTCCTTATAATACACCATATATACAAAGAGAGAAAAGAACATTTCTGAACATAGCAATACAACAGGCTCAATAAATAATTGCAACATTCTCTAATTCCTTCTTAACATCAAATGTGACTGGTGGGAAGAGGGGAGATGGATGAGAGAGAGAGAGAGAGGGGGGGGGGTAGGGAGAGAGGAATTGAGAGTGGGTTCTTAAAGAATTGACACAGAGAGACAATTATGTGGGGTGGGGGTTGTGAGAGGGGCTAATGTATGATTGTGCGGTGTGAATGGATAAAATAATAATAATAATCCTTGCATTTGATACAGCGCCTGATCACGTCTTCGAGACGTCTCAAAACGCTTCACAGAATATACTGTAAAGTGAATTGATGGTGTGTTTTGTGGCTGAATCAAATATTATGTACAGCATAGTTACAAAAATAATTCCTGAGGCACTGTAGTTTCTCATACATTTCCGTAGACCTATATATATATGAATTTTAAAAAAACCTCTCTCTTATGTATTTTACTTCAGATCAAAGTGACTCATTTTTTTGGCTTTCTAAACTGGCAAACAGGGTGACGTCACCTCGGTTTTGGATGCTTTAAAGATAAGTTTATATTTTAAAAAATCTTTAAAAATATTGCGCGTGTTTGTGTATGATACAGAGCGAAAGAGAGCGAGAGAGAGAGAGAGGGGTGGGTGGGGGGCTAGTTGCAAGAAGGGAGGGCAATTTTGTGGGGGGGGAGAAAAAAATATTTGGGTGAAAAAAAGCATCTTTTATGAATTAATGCTTTTTTTTACAGTATAATTGCAAGATTCATTCATTCTGTCATCCATTCATTCACCCCACTCACTCCCTCTCTCTCTCTATATATATATATATGTGTGTTTATCATATACATATGTATAAAACAAACGCATTGCAAAAAAAAAAATCCTGTTAATTGATGAAATTGCGCATCGGTGCGCTGTGTAACCGTTCAATCAAAAAAAAAACAAAAGCCAATTCATCTGATCGCTTCCAATAAATGATATGAATATTTCACAGCATTTAGTGAGTGCGGACAGGGAAAAAAAAAGAGAGATACAGTACATCCTTGTGAGGCACAGAGAGAGAGGGAGAGAGGGAGAGAGGGACTAGTTTGAGACGTGATGAGAGAGAGCAGTCGATGTATTCATTTTATTATTATTGATATTATTGTTATTATTCCCTCACACCCCCTCACACCCCCTCCTCCCTCCGATGGTGCCATCGGATGGGGGTCGGTGGGGGCAGAGGGGCTGAGATGTACGTGAAAATAAATCTGGGGCGATGTTAGAAAAATGCCCATTTTGAGATGGTTAAGATATTGAGTGACTGAAACCCTTCTGTCTTCCCATTTCACCAAATACACACAAATACACACACACACACACATATATATATATATATATATATTGGCTTTTTTTAATCCATATGCTGTCCATCCTAACATCTCTCTCAAGCAATCACACAGGTATCGTTCCCAACTCTCAGTACGAAAGAGGGTTCTGTTCCCAGAGAGACATTTTTTGAGATACGTTTAAACGATAGATGTATATTTTAATTGAATTCAACCCCCCCCCCACCCCCCTCTGCCCCCCCCCCACCACTACCAACCCCACCACATACACACACCCCAAACCTATCTATGTTTCCATTTTGTTCTTTGATATGCATTAATTTTGACACACCCAAAATGGTTGGTTTTTTCCTCCCCCCCTCCTCCCCTCCCCGAATATGAATTATGATTTCAAATAAAAAAAGAGAGAGGGGGAGAGAGAGAGAGAGAGAGAGAGAAAGGGTTGCAGGAATTCTCCTTAAACCCCAAACCCCCCCTCTCCCCCCTGAATAAACAACCCCCTGATCGCCAAACAGAAAGTATTTGGTGGATCGCCAATGGCAAAACGATGTCTCCTCTGAAATATTGGGTGATGTGGGGGAGAAATCTTCTGATTAATTGGGGCTATTGATTTTCTGGGGGAGGGAGGGAGGGGGAGAGGGAGGGAGGGAGGGAGGGAGGGAGGGGGCAATAGCATCCAGTATTCTGTGTGTTGCCTGACTGCAGATTATGGTAAAAGCATTTTGGATGGTGAAAGGGAGAGGGGGAAAAAAATGCAGAATGCGTCAAAATAAGCTTGATTCAGAGCAAGAGAGAGAGAGAGAGAGAGAGGGGGGGGGGGGAGCAGCTTTTTATAATTCCAGCCATGTCCACCCATCAGTCTCTGAAATGCAATATACATTGGGGGGGGGGGAGAGGGAGGAGAGAGAGAGGGAGTGAGAGAGAGAGAGAGAGAGGAAGAGGATGGAGGAAAAACGACATGGTACATAGAGGAGGGGAAGGGGAGAGGGAGAGAGGAGAGGAGATGAAGATGAAGAGCGAGAGAGAGAGAGAGAGAGAGAGGGAGGGAGGGAGGAAGGGTATAAAATACCTTCAAGGCAGCAGGTTCTCCATAATCCAGAGTGGGTCATCACCTCCTCGTTCTTTTTGCTGGTTTCATTCTCACTCACACTCTTGCTCTTGCAAACACCTCGGGAATAGAGCCAGTAATCTGTGCCCACAGCTATAGTCATGAGGCTGAAGGCTGCAAAAGCGCCAACAGTAGTTAATAGCATCTGCACTCCACGATCAAAAAGACCCATACTTCTTCATTATATACCCAAGACTTTCTCTCCTTGTGGTCTCTCTCTCTCTCTCTCCTTCCCCTCTCTCTCTCTCTCTCTCCCAGTCACTCACTCTCCTCTCTCAGGCAGAGAAAGCAAACCCCATTTTTATTTCTTTTAAAAAAAAAGGAAGGATGGAGGGATGGATGGAAGGGAGGAAAGAAGGGAGAAAAAGGAGAAGAGAAGAGAGAGAGAGAGAGAGAAAGAGGGTGGGGGGCGGGGAGGGCAGAGAGAAGAGAGAGAGAACGAGAGAGAGAGAGGAGATCAAAGGGAGATCAAAAGATTTTTCGTTGCTTTCCAGAACAAGATGGGTTTTCCAATTCAATATATATATATATTATTATTATTATTATTTGTTTTTGCTTTGAATAATCTGGCTTCAATATAGATTATATAATATATATATATATTAATTTTTTTCTTAATTTAAAAAAAGGAAAAGGGTGAATTCTCCCCCCAAAACCGACCGACCAAACCAACCGAACCAAACCAAACCAAACCAACCAACCAACCAACCAACCAAAACACAAAAGAAAAACAGAAACCCCCAAATAAAAGAGATGAATAATAATAATAAGTTAATCCTTTTTTCTAAAATTCTGGTCTTCAGTTTCCATAAGTAGTGACTAGTTTTGAGAGAGCTTTAGCGTAGAAAATAACGAAGGCAAAGGCATCCTTTGGAGAGACACTGGAGCCCGAACGCCAGAAAGATTGTAGGTGGCAGGAACAGCTTTGTGATTCAATTCCCAATCCAACGCCATGAAAATCCTAGAGGTTTTTTTTTGTTGGTGTGTGTGTGTGTGAGAGAGAGAGAGAGAGAGATTTCTTTCTTATTGCGAAGACGTTGATTGCAGAGGAAAGACCGAGCTGCAAACACACACACACACACCCGCACACATATATATATATATATATATAAATATATATATGTAGACAGACAGATAGATGGATACCGTATAGAAATATATATACGGATTGTGTGCGAGTATCAGAGAGAGAGAGAGAGAGAAAGAGAGAGAGAGGAACGGTTGAGATTTCAGGACAGACTGAACTGAGCCATGACTTGTGCTGAAGCAGACAGCTCCTCTTCACATTGCAGCGTTCACACACACACACAAATCCTCGCTCGCATTTGCTTAATATTTTTCTTCCTTCGCTGTGGTTTTTGGTTTTCTTTTTTTTTTATCCGTTCCTTCTTTTTTTTTTCTGGGGGTGGGTGGGGGTGGGGGTGGGGGGGTTTCTCTGGCTCCCTCCCTCGCTTTCTTTCTCTCTCTCTCTCTCTCTCTCTCTCCCTCCCTCTCTCTCTTCCCCACCACCAAAAATATATATTTCTCTTCTTTTCCTCGTTGTGGTGATGGTTGTGGGTTTTTCTTCTCTCTCTCTCTCTTTCCTTCTTTTTTTCTTCTTCTTTCTTCTTTTTTCTTCTTCTTCCCTCTCTCTCTCTCTCTCTCTGTTCTCCTTTTTCCCTCGTCTCAAATATTCTCTCTTCTCTTCTCTTCTCTCCTCTCCTCTCCTCTCCTCTCTCTTCTCTTCTCTCTCTCCCCAACGCTGGAAAAGAGCAGCTTGCAACACAGGGTCGACTCACAAAGGAAGAAGGCGGCGTTATCTCTCTCTCTCCCCTCTCTCTCTCTCTTTCTCTCTTCCTCCCTCCACCCCCCCACTCTATCTCTCTCTCTCGTTCTCTCTCTCTCTCTCTCCTCCTCTCTTCCAATGTGCTGTCACTCTTAACGATACGTGCCCAAGGCTTCAAATGCAGCCTTTACATTGCAAATACACCGGTAGAGAGAGAGAGAGAGAGAGAGAGTGTGAGAGGGGGGGAAGGAATAAGAAGATATATATATATATATATATAGAGAGAGAGAGAGGGTAGAAATGCAATGGTTCTGTTTAAATGCTCATGCAAAAAAAATACACATGTGGGAAGGGATTTTTTTGGGGGGTGAGGAGGGAAGATCTCAGGATAGCAAATATATACACACACACATACACCCAAATACACTTACAAACACATACATTCATACACCTACACACATACATACACCTACACACACACAGATATACATACATACACACACATTCACCTACACACATACATACACCCACACACATACATACTTACACACACACAGATATGCATACACACACATACATACACCCACATACTCCCACACACACAAACACACACACACACATACAGATAAACATACACACATACGTACATATTCACACACCCACAGGTGCATATACACCCACACGCGTACACACACCTACAGACAGACACACATACATGCACAGATGCACACACACCCTGTGAGCTTGACATTGCTTTTTCTGAGCAGAAATGTTGATACTGGGTTGAGTTTTTGCCCCCATGAGGGAGTCGGGGGCTTAACCCACACCCTGGGGTTTAAATATCATTGCTCCTACTCACAATAACTCTTTACTGTTCAGGTTGAACACCCCCACCTTGATAACAGGACAAATATAATGCACTCAATATAGTACAACCCAAATCTACATTTATTCAGCGACTTTCACGTCGGGAGGACGTCCCACGATGCTATACTGCTTTAATACAATAATAATAATCCTCGCGTTTGACACAGCGCCTCATCACGTCTTCGAGACATCTCAAAGCGCTTTACAGGATACACTGTAAAGTGAATTAACTGTGTATTTTGTGGGCGAAACGCGGCAGCCAATTACGCACAGCAGCGTCCCCACAAACAGCTGTGGATTGAGTGACCAAATTATTTTTTTGTGTGGGGGTGGGATTATTATCCCAATGAAAGCGATCCGCCAATTGACTAACAACCGGGTTCCTACTTACGGCTGGGTAAACAGTGTGTGTGTGTGTGTGTGTGTGTGTGGAGGAAGGACACTTGCCGAAAGATTTCGCCCTGACACCGGCTGGGAATCGAACCCGGATCCTCTCGCTTGCGAGGCGAGCATGATAATTCCTTTTTTTTGTACTTAAAAAAACGCCGTCAGCCTAGGCCAGTACGCATTACAAAAAATAATGGTTGTGTGGGAGTGAGCTCCCTGCATATAAACTCTGCTCTGGGTTTGAACATGCACAAAAAAAAGCAAGCTCATGTATTCTTATCCTCATCTCTGCCATCACCTGCCTCTCAGTCAGATTGTCTCTGTATAATTGCAACACCCACTACTCTATTCCTCCCTTTGTTACAGCCATTGGGTTTGAGATGGGCTATTACTGTTACCGTTCCTGCCAGCGTCGAATACAGCCCGATAACAGCGACCTTTGCATTTGACACAGCGCCTTATCACGTCTTCGCGGCCTCTCAAAGCGCTTCACAGGATACAGCGTGAAGTGAATGGACTGTGTTGCGTTTTGCGGGCGAAACGCGGCAGCAGCGTCCCAACAAACAGTCGTTGATTACGTGACCGATTTATTAATATTATTTCTTTTAAAAAATTGAAGGAATTATTACCCCCGGAAAAGCAATCGACTAACAACTGGGTTCCTACTTTCTGGTAGGCAAACAGAGGCGCGCGTGGTGTGTGGAGTAAGGAAACTTGCCCAATGTTTTGCCCGGCCCAGGAATCGAACCCGGGTCCTCTCGCTTGCAAGGCGATTGCTCTAAACACTGAGCTACAGGACTTCATGGGGGTATCTTGGGTGTGTGTGGGGGGGGGGGGGGAGGGGGAGAGGTAAGGGGCTAAACAGGTTCCGGTGATGATTGTATATATTGTTTATCATCCATTTCCGCATTTACCTGCCCGCGAACGCACAGTCACTACACTTCACAATAAAAAGTTTCCTTGCTCCACTCTGGTTGCCCAGCAGTAAGTAGGAACCCGCTGTCAGTCGGATCGCTTTCCGAAGGTAATGATCTCTACCAAAAAAAAAGGAAACTGATACAGCGCCTGACCATGTCGTCGAGACTCGCGCACAGCAAACTGCCACAAACAGCCATTGAGTGAGGGATCAACTTTTTGGGGGATTGGATTGTTGACTCGAACACTGCGAGAGAGAGCGAGAGAGACAGAGAGAGAGAGAGAGAGAGAGAGAGAAACTCGCTTCTCTTCTTGAACAGCGCTGAGATCTTTAAAGTCCACCTGAACAGGCAGACGGGGAGGGGAGTGAGTGAGGTTTAACGTCTCATCCGAAGGACTGCGTCTTCCGACAATGCAACACCCCCCAAACTCCCCCCACAACAGTAATGCATTGGAGCAACAGCTTAGATAGTGTGTGATTCCAAGTCCTGACTTGGTGGGGTTTTCGAACCCACAACCTTCTGACTCATAAAAAGTTTTATTTTTATTTTATTCTGACTCAAGAGGCGAACGAGAGAGAGAGAGAGAGAGAGAGAGAGCTACCACAGCGCCAGGCTGACACAACGACACTTATTGTAAAGTGTAGTGACTGTCTGTTTGTTTTTGTGGGCGAAACGCGGGAGGCGTTCCCCACGATATCAAGACAGGGCGAAAGTTTGTTTCCGCTTCTTATCTGTTTGTCGCCAGGAGGAGAAACCACAGACACATTGAGCTAATGTGTCGGGGACGTGCGAGGAGAGTCCCAGCTGCCGTGGGCTTAAAGTGACAATTCCAGCGGCGTTCCCGTCAGGAAACAAACAGCGCGGAGAGAACTTTATATACATAACATTCCCTGATTCTGACACCGCCCTCACACGCACACGCACACGCACGTACAATCCCACACACAGAAAAGCCGCGGGTACTGGGTTGTTGCTCTGAATGGAATGTTCCCAGTGTAGTGTAGTGACTGCTTGTTTGTAACGCCAATTCAGTAGCAGCAGGAAGGGAGGGAGGGAGGGAGCGAGAGAGAGGGAGGGAGCGAGAGAGGGAATGAGATGGGTGGGGAAGGGAGGGAGTGAGAGAGGGAACGAGAGAGGGAGGGAGAGAGCGAGAGAGGGAATGAGAGGGAGGGAGGGAGAGAGCGACAAGGAGGGAGCGAGAGAGTAATAGAATGAGAGAGGGAGGGAGGGAGAGAGGGAGGCAGGTTATGCGGGAAGCGAAGAGAAGGTAAGGGAGGGGATGGCCAGTGAGATACCCCTGAGCAGGAGTGACCCAGTT